TGGTTTGTTTAAAAAACTAGTGACATTTGAATAAATATTGAAAAAAGGGCTCCAAAAAAGGCGCATATATCCTGGCCGGCTTAGCCAGTCTGTATTTCTTCAAGCACCAAGATTCATAGTTTATAAAGTAAAATTCTGGGCCATTGATTGTGTAATTTCTCCAAACACATACAGTAAAAATGCCTGTTTTGAAGCCTTCAAATGGTGCAGGACAATACTTTACATTGGGTTATACTTCAAGTTGGACTATTCAGTTAAAAGAAGAGAAAAAAAGGAAAGAAAATTGTTATAATGGGTGATGTAACATTAATGACAGACATAATATGAGGTCCTTGGCAGTCAGACTCTAGAGGGGTCATTTTGTGATCATGGGGCATCACCCTTACAGCATCAGGACAATATAATTATGGAGTCAGACACTGGAAGTGTGCTGGAGGCTGATGCGTTGACTGGGACTGATGAAAGGATAAGGCTGATGAGACTGAAGAATCTGCGAGGAACGAACTAGCGGCAGAGAAATAATTATATATTAAAAGACAGCAACATCATAAGAGGCCAACCAGAGTCACAGAGTGTGTCACTTTGCTGAAGGATATTTGTGACCAGCTATCCAGGCCAGTCTCTAAAGACTTTCCAAGGTGTAAAAATGCTGCTGCCAGAGTACTGACTCGAAGTATTGCTGATAATATGTCCACCATATCCTCTTAAAATACTCTGTCCAATAATATCAGTCTCAGGAAGAAAGGTTTTTTAATGCTTATTAAAAATAGCAGAGAAACATGCATTCAGGAGGGGACATTGACAGAGGATTACTGGAAAAGTACATATAGTAAAAGTACTTCATAGTACTTGTGGGAGTAGTTTCACTAGTACTGAGTCCAACAGTGTCAATCTCACGAAGAACTAATGGCAAAAATCATTTTTTCCCTCATCAAACTTAAAGGGGACCTATCATGCAAAATGCACTTTTGTACGTCTTTTATACATGAATATGTGTCCCCGGTGTTCCAGGGAACTCACCAAGTGTCAGAAAACACAACCCTCTCTATTTTCCTCCATACCCAAATCTCTAAAAAAGGGGCTGCAACGGATCTGATAAAAACTGATCCAGATTTGAACACTGTCCTGACGTCAGGACAGTGGCGCTATAGAGTGGCGAAGTCCCTCCCCTTCCGGTGGACCTCCATGGGACCTTATTTCGGAAAAATTATGTATTGAAGTCAATGGAGAGAGAAAGATTATCTTTCGATCCCGTTTGAATTGTGCCACGAATTACACATATGATGTTTGTCAATTTAAAAGATAATTTTGCAAGTCAAAAAAAAAAAATGTGTTGTAAAACTGTGAAGTAACACATTTGTTTGTGTGAAACGCTCAATGAACTACATCTCTGGTCTCACAGAACAACACACGTCACCAAGATGGCCGTCACTACTGTCAACAAAACGATTGACTACCCTCACTATCACCACAATGAAACACGTCCTGAAGAATGTCATGCAAAGCTGCCTGCCTGCCTTCCTTTGATTCTCTCTGAACTGCCTGGTCGTTTTAATGTTTAATGTCAACCATTTGTGCAGATAGCATGAAGTAGAGAAGATCGCTAGCGTTAGCGTTAGCATTTCTCCCCCGGGGCTTAAATTGTGTATTATAGAATGATCACACCGGTGACAGTACTATTCAAAGGGTTCACGAAATATGACTACTACTCTTACTGTTTAACATGTTGGGTTACTTCATGTTACTTCATGTTAAGGCTAGTAAAAATGACACGGCTGTAATGCTAACTAACGTGCTAGCTACTAGCTAGCTTGATCCAGACACTCCTAGTCCTTTCATCAGACGGGAAGCGAAAGAATGAGCAAGACCCATTGCTGGTATGATAACAACCTGGTACTAAGCACACAGGCATCTTGTTAAAGTTATCTTATCTTAGCCGCGCCATATAGATAGATGATATCTATATGGCACTGATCTTAGCTAGTGGAGGAAAACAATTGTGACATCACTTACGCGACTCTGGGATTTGTAGTCTTTCTAGTTGCGTATTTTTCATAGTCTTATATTTCAACAGTTTTACGACAAACTGTGACTTTTTTGACATGGAAATTATTTTTTAAGATTGACAAACATCATATGTGTAATTCATGGCACAATTCAAACGGGATCGAAAGATAAGTTTTCTCTCTCCATACACTTCAATACATTATTTTTCCGAAATAAGGTCCCATGGGGCGGAAGTAGATGGGCGTGACTTCGCCACTCTATGGCTATTGGGCCAACTCCACCAATCAGGAGGAGACAGCCACGGCCATTGCCGTTCGAAAGCGCTGGAGACGCTGTAGTACATATGCCAGGCCAGTAGATGGTGCTGTTCTCACTGAATCTGCCCTTGCAGAGCAGAGCTAAAAAAAAGTGCAAATTGAGCGAAATGAGGCATGGCTAAAATGCATGATCTGTTTGGTATTTTGAAAAGAAAAAAGTATAAATATGCCTTATATAGGTATGGTCCTACACTATATTATTCAAATATAGCATGATAGGTCCACTTTAACAGAAGTGGCTTGATTTTGTTCTCAGGAGGGGACATTGACAGAGAATTTTTTTTAAACAACACACTAGAAGTACTTCATTGTATTGTGGTAGTAGTTGTAAGACTACTGAGTCCAGCAGTATCAATATCATTAAGAACTAATGGTAAAATTGTCTTTTTTATCATTAATCAAAGATAGCAGAAAACATGCATTATGTAGCCTACTATGGAGGGGACTCTGGCAGAGGATTACTCACAAAGTACACAGTAAAAGTACTTCATTTTATTTCTGGTAGCAGTCAAACTAGTACCGAGTCCAACAGTGTCAGTTTTATTAAGAACTTATGATAACAAATATTTGTATCGATCATCAAATATAGCAGGACAAAAAATGAAGAGCAGCTGAATTGAAAAAACAAACGCGAGAGGCGGGGCAGTGCAGAATCGCTGTATCAGTGGCGAGCCGTGAGCTTTATACCTAGGCCCTCTGACCCCCACCCCTTCCCTCGAAAAAAAGAAGAAAAAAAGAGTTATTACGTCACAGCGTATACTTCAGCGGAATATCAAAACAACGGCCCAGGGTGCAAAACGCATCAATGACAGCGACCCTCTACCACACAAAACAACACCTGTGAACCCAATTTGTGTTCTTTGACATTGAAAATGATATTGCATTGTGTTTGTTACTTTCGTTGCAGTTGTATGTCAGTGTAATTTGGCATGCTTTTATTTTGAAGGCGAGTTCACACTGTTGACAGGAAGTTGTTGTTGCTATGGAAACAAGAAAAGTTTCACAGCGGGCGGAACTTGTCATAAAGTCCGCGATTATAAAACCCACCCATTTAGACGCCGTTTACACAGGAGAAAACTGCTTGTATCTGCATAGTTTCGCGTGCGTATAGCCCTATTATTTACACGAGGCCGATAGAAACTGACCCCACAAACGATAACGGGTCCCAAGGTGGATAGATTTGCAAACGAAACGCTCTGGGGGGTCAACCGAGTCCGTGTAATCACCTCTATACGAATATTTCCTGAAAAAATAGCGATAGCCCCACCTCTCCCCACCTCTCCTGCTCACTGCTGTAGCAACTATCAAAAATAGCTGTGTTAATTAAACGCACAAGGGGTTCTTGAATGAAATAATATTATAAAAGGCAAACCAGAATTGTTAACGCCCAATATACTCCTTAAACAAAATAAACAGAGTCAGATTTCATGCATTGATCCATTATATTGACAAAGGAGGATCTCACCCGGTGTTTGTAGAGAATATCTCTCTTTCTGAGCCGTCCTCTCCACAGAGACGTGCTTCTTGGTCGGTCGATGCAATATCCACAGATTCGGTTTCTTTCAGTTAACTTCCCCGTTGCATTTATCCATATGCTGAGGAAATTACTATATCCCGCTGAATACCAGCAATCGCCACACACACTTCCTCCTGTCAGTAGCTACTGCTAGTGCTACTGCTACTGACCATGCTACAGATATTAGTGCAAAATCTACAGCTCCTCTACCACAACCATCAGCAACAAGTGGACATGGAGAATTACATGAACTACATGTTGCTAAATACACCGCGGGGCATAAACAGAAGGGTAGCCATGGCAACATTGTTGCGGGGCTGCTCGGGCTGCTCTTCTTCGTTGCTTTTGGTGTATTTTGGCGGAAGTTACAGCGCCACTTACAGTCCCGGCATATGTACTACAGCGTTTCCAGCGGCCTCGTTTGAACAGACACGTTAAATGAAACGAATGCATGTGAACGGAAGACTTTTTTGAATACGCATACTGTGCATAAACGCAAACGTTCCCGTGTGAGCGGGGCCTTAGAGGGAAGATATGATTGGTCAATTGTACTGTCATTTGACATTACTCTCTCGTTGAGTTACTATAGCGGGCCCTCTGTGAATCGCAGAGAGGGCCAGACGAGCTTCTTTCATGTAAACCCTTCACATTCAAACAGAGACTGAACAGGCAGATTCGAAGGATTTATTTCTTTGGAAATGTTATTTTATTGAATCAAGTTTTCGGTAAAACTAATGAAAAATATAACAAAAATAATATTAAAAAAATATATATTTAAAAAAGTTTTTTTTTTAATGTTTTAAAAAAAAAAAAATTGTAATATCTTAGGCCCTCACAGAGGGCCTAGAGGGCCCTGACGGCTCGCCACTGCGCTGTATAGTTTAAATCTCCTAACAATGTTGTCCATTTTAGACATAGGCTTATTATATTTACAGCCCTTAATAACATTCATTTTCTGGGCTCAATATGTGTCTTGGCCGTTTTCGTTGTGATCGCTAAATTCACCTCGTTTCCCCTTGTTTATAATAATATCACCGTTCCAAGCACACGAGTGCTTTTGTTTTGAAATCACTTCCGTGAGTTTCGCCCCGCCCCTCGCTCCAATGACCATTAGACCATTTAGTAAAGTAAAAAGCAAAAAGCAAAAACGTCTCTCAGACGCTCTTCCGTTTACTTGTTTAATAAAGAAAAACAATTGGACGGTAGATACACGGATTATTGAGGGGTACTTGGTACGTTGTACTGTCTTACGAACTGCTTTTATTGATTTTCCTCAGAAAAACGTAGTAGCAGAGCGTCTTTCCGTTGCGCTGCGACTGCACACTTGTTTCAACCTGTTTAGGGGGTTATCTTGATATCATATATTTCTATAAAGAGCAAAGCATATCGTTTTAAGACAGCACTTTGCCTTAGAAATCAAGACTGGAGTATTCGCTTATCGTTGTAGGCGCTCCCAGCTGCATGCTCCCCTGTGGGGCACTCCTCTGCAGGACACTGGATGATAAACTAACGCCCACTCTGCAGGGCGGGGTCACGCTCTGGTAATGCGCTTATATACAGTCCATGGCGTTAGTTTACTGCTGACAAGGAAGCGACACCTGGATGAACCACCTGAACGTTACTTTAAGAACCACTTTATTTTGCTAGCTAACGGATATTTCTTAGTTTTTCTCCCGGTTTCACTGTTGCAAACTGAGGGGTCAAAATGAACTCCATTGACCTGGAGAAGCTGAAGATGACGGGAGCTGGTCGAGCCATGGCAGTGTTGACCAGCGGTGGAGATGCACAAGGTGACTTTAAATTACTTTAAACAAAACAATCCGTGTATCTACCGTCCAATTGTTTTTCTTTATTAAACAAGTAAACGGAAGAGCGTCTGAGAGACGTTTTTGCTTTTTGCTTTTTACCTTACTAAACGGTCTAATGGTCATTGGAGCGAGGGGGAGGGTGAAACTCACGGAAGTGATTTCAAAACAAAAGCACTCAAGTGCTGGAACGGTGATAATATTATAAACAAGGGGAAACTAGGTGAATTTAGCGATCACAACGAAAACGGCCAAGACACATATTGAGCCCAGAAAATGAAGGTTATTAAGGGCTGTAAATATAATAAGTCTGTCTAAAATGAACAACATTGTTAGGAGATTTAAACTATAGGCCTACAGCGATTCTGCACTGCGGCCAACTCAAACTGCTATATTTTATGATCGATACAAATATTTGTTATCATAAGTTCTTACTAAAACTGACACTGTTGGACTCGGTACTAGTTTGACTGCTACCAGAAATAAAATGATCACTTTTACTGTGTACTTTGCGAATAATCCTCTGAGTCCCCTTCATAGTAATGCATGTTTTCTGCTATCTTTGAGGAATGATACAAATAAAATGTTACCATTAGTTCTTAATGATATTCATACTGTTTGACTGTCTATTAGTTAGCCTGCTACTAACAATACATTGAAGTACCTTTACTGTGTATTTTTTTGAGTAATCCTCTGTCAGAGTCCCCTCCATACTGTACACAATGCATGTTTTCTGCTATCTTTGATGAGTGATAAAAAGAACATTTTACCATTAGTTCTTAATGATTTGATACTGCTGGACTCAGTAGTCTTACACCTACTACCACAATACAATGAATTACTTCTAGTGTGTTGTTTAAAAAATCCTCTGTCAATGTCCCCTCCTGAGAACAAAATCAAGCCACTTCTGCTAAGTTTGATGAGGGAAAAAATGATTTTTGCCATTAGTTCTTCGTGAGATTGACACTGTTGGACTCGGTACTAGTGAAACTACTCCCACAAGTACTATGAAGTACTTTTACTGTGTACTTTTTGAGTAATCCTCTGTCAATGTCCCCTCCTGAGTACAAAAATGCATGTTTCTCTGCTATTTTGAATCAGTGTTAAAACACCTTTCTTCATGAGACTTATATTGTTGGACAGAGTATTTTAAGAGGATATGACATGATATCAGCAATACTTCCAGTCAATACTCCGGCAGCAGCATTTTTACTCCTTGGAAAGTCTTTAGAGAATGGCCTTCAGCAAAGTGACAAACCTCCTAGTTCATTCCTCGCAGATTCTTCCATCAGTCCCAGTCATTGCATGTCAGTCAATAGAGATTCGAAAAATGTGTCCAATTCAACAAAACTTTTTTTTGTGAGTGAAGGCCAGAACTAAATTATAGAGTGTTTGATTGTGTAATTACAAGGTGAGAAAAAAATTCCACATCCTCCTATGAAACGTATTTTATTTACTTTTCCACTTATACTTACTTGTAATAAAACATTTGCATGTTGAACTGCTGGATATCTTCCCCAGCCTCAAGGAAACACAATAAAATAAATGGATTCATAATTTTTTTTAAATGATAAAAATGTATAAATGAATAATGTTGTGTGCCAACATTTCAAATTTAAATATAAAATAAAAAAAAGTTTACTTTTTAAATGATTTCTCACAAAAACCTTTCTAAATTAGAGTAAATTGTAAAAAAAAAAGGTTTTAGTCAATAAACGTTTTTCTGCCTAAAATAGTTGAAATTGAACGTAAACTATATCTAACACCACATGCATGGCAATTAACCCATTTTTGCCTGCTATTTAAATTGACTTTGGTTGAAGTTAATAACAATATTGATATTATATATATATATATATATATATATATATATAGATATATATATATATATATATCTATATATATATATCTATATATATATATATATAGATATATATATATATATATATCTATATAGCATACCATTGATGCAGTCTTTCTGAACACTTTTAAAATAAAATACTGCAAATGAAGAATATTTGTAATGTTCTGCACAGATAGTGCCTTAACTTGAATTTGAAAACACGTGGCAACTTTATTAATACAGCAGATGAAAAGATTTGTGGAAGGATAAATTCTTCATGGGCTTCAATGGCTCTCTAGATAAAGGGCGTTTTATGGTTGTTTGTATTATCCTCAGATAGTGGTTTGTTTAAAAAACTAGTGACATTTTAATAAATATTGAAAAAAGGGCTCCAAAAAAGGCGCATATATCCTGGCCGGCTTAGCCAGTCTGTATTCTTCAAGCACCAAGATTCATAGTTTATAAAGTACAATTCTGGGCCATTGATTGTGTTATTTCTCCAAACACTTACAGTAAAAATGCCTGTTTTTGACACCTTAAAATGGTTCAGGAAAAGGACTTTACATTGTATTATAGTTAAAGACGGGACTATTCAGTTAAGAGAAGAGAAAAAAGGAAAGGAAATTGTTATAATGGGTGATGTAACATTAATGACAGACATAATATGAGGTCCTTGGCAGTTGGCACTCAGACTTTAGAGGGGTCATTTTGTGATCATGGGGCATCACCCTTACAGCATCAGGACAATATCATATGGAGTCAGACACTGGAAGTGTGCTGGAGGCTGATGCATTGACTGGGACTTATGGAAGGATGAGGCTGATGAGAATGAAGAATCTGCGAGGAACGAACTAGCGGCAGAGAAATAATTATATATTAAAATACAGCAACATCATAAGAGGCCAACCAGAGTGACAGAGTGTGTCACTTTGCTGAAGGATATTTGTGACCAGCTATCCAGGCCAGTCTCTAAATACTTTCCAAGGTGTAAAAATGCTGCTGCCGGAGTACTGACTGGAAGTATTGCTGATAATATGTCCACCATATCCTCTTAAAATACTCTGTCCAATAATATCAGTCTCAGGAAGAAAGGTTTTTTAATGCTTATTAAAAATAGCAGAAAAACATGCATTATTGTACTCAGGAGGGGACATTGACAGAGGATTACTGGAAAAGTACATAGTAAAAGTACTTCATAGTACTTGTGGGAGTAGTTTCACTAGTACTGAGTCCAACAGTGTCAACTCATCAAACTTAGCAGAAGTGGCTTGATTTTGTTCTCAGGAGGGGACATTGACAGAGGATTTTTTAAACAACACACTAGAAGTACTTCATTGTATTGTGGTAGTAGGTGTAAGACTACTGAGTCAAGCAGTATCAATATCATTAAGAACTAATGGTAAAATTGTCTTTTTATCATTCATCAAAGATAGCAGAAAACATGCATTATGTACTGAGGGGACTCTGACAGAGGATTATTCACAAAGTACACGGTAAAAGTACTTCATTTTATTTCTGGGAGCAGTCAAACTAGTACAGAGTCCAACAGTGTCAGTTTTAGTAAGAACTTATGATGACAAATATTTGTATCGATCATCAAATATAGCAGGACAAAAAATGAAGAGCAGCTGAATTGAAAAAAGAGAGAGACGGCTGAGTTGGCCGCAGTGCAGTATCGCTGTATAGTTTAAATCTCCTAACAATGTTGTCCATTTTAGACACAGACTTATTATATTTACAGCCCTTAATAACATTCATTTTCTGGGCTCAATATGTGTCTTGGCTGTTTTCGTTGTGATCGCTAAATTCACCTAGTTTCCCCTTGTTTATAATATTATCCCCGTTCCAAGCACACGAGTGCTTTTGTTTTGAAATCACTTCCGTGAGTTTCGCCGCGCCCCTCGCTCCAATGACCATTAGACCATTTAGTAAAGTAAAAAGCAAAAACGTCTCCCAGACGCTCTTTCGTTTACTTTTTAATAAAGAAAAACAATTGGACGGTAGATACACGGATTCAAAACACATATTACACAGTTAGCTTATACAGCCATTATTTAAGTAAAAGTTGATATTAAGCTTACTTTTTGCAACACATGTAAACATTGGACATCGGCTCGTGTGTCAAAGGCATAGACTAAAGGTCAAAGGTCGTGTATGAGCAGCCTAAATAACGTAACTTACTAAGTATATTACCCAATTCCTGAACAATTTCACGTACATTTCTTGAGTACTAGAATGTTTTCCTACTTACATATTTCTTCTCCACTACAACTTAAAAATATAACTTGTTATACCACTGTATGCATTTAGTTACTGATAGTTTGCACATTAGGGGTAATACAACAAAATATAACAAACAAATGAATGATGGCACATAATCCTACTAATACTGTATAGTACTTTAACTTGTAAGTTTTCAAGCATATGATTCATGTGTGTTATACTTTCAATACAGTGAAATTAGTAATGCAGGACTTTTACTAAGTTGTAGCAGAATGTTTCTACACTGTGGTACTGCTACTTTATTTAAAATCAAAATCTTCTACCTCCTGTACCTCATAGAGTGTTAGGGACCGTTCAACTAATGCTTGTAGGACATTGTTACTATTTCCACAGAGTGGGTGGCACCTTTGCCCAATGAGAAATAATTAAGTCATATCCATTGTTTGATTGCACGGTTATTGTGCAAACAGCTTGTGTGTAATGAGAAACAGAGGTGAATCTAATCATTTCATTAAACTCTCCAGGGATGAATGCTGCTGTCCGAGCTGTGACCAGAATGGCCATCTATATGGGGGCCAAGGTCTATCTTATTTATGAGGTAAACAAGTTTCTTTAATATGACCCTAATAAAAATTGAGTTTGGTCTTTATTCTTGTTGACTTGCCCACATTGCTATTTTTAACAGTAACACACCATCGGAAATTACTTTTCAGGGATACCAGGGCCTGGTGGATGGGGGAGACAACATCAAACTAGCACACTGGCAGAGTGTGACCAACATCATCCAACTGGTGGGTTAAAACAAAATAATCAATCCCTTGACAGCAGTGGTGAATCTAGCTATAATTATTTGCAGGTTTCCACCTATCCTGCATTAATTGTATCTTGATTTATATTTTTTTCTATTCATTGTGGTTAAAATATCTCTCTTTTTCTCTTTTTCATGTATTTACTAGAAATGTTATGATTGAATCCATCTCCTCTCATCTCTTCTCTTCCTGCCTGTCTAATTCTGGTTATACCCTGGTAAGGGGCCTTGCTGCATGTGCTCTCAGCCTTATTAGTTGAAGAATTGGAAAGTTACTTTTCAAAAGAACATTATACGCTATCCAACTTTCTCCAAGTATCCAGAGACATGTATAAACTCTGTATTGCACTGTTTATTAGCTTGTGTGCTGGTGACCCCTTAGCAATTTTTCAATTTACAAGTTGTCTTAGGTTTGATGTTTATGAATTTTGAGCAGTTCAAACAAAGAGTAAATGTCCCCTCTTTAAGGCTGTTTCATTTGAATAACTTTTAGTGTTCGAAATTATCAATTTTTATGTAGCAGAATATGTGATTTTTCCTACTAACTATGCTAATTATTGTCTTAGGACCCCTTAGTTTATTATTGTGTCCCTTTTCCTGGGGGTCACCATCCACAACTTAGTAACCTCGCTGTAAAGCAGGTGGATGGCAGGTTTCACTCAGCATTAAAACACAAATATATCTGGAGTGACTGCTTGTGATCTAGCTCTGTTTCTAATCTTCCACCGCAGACATCTGATTCATCTAACAACACCATCAGGACGCTGAGCAAAAGGAAATATTTCTGTATCTTTGCAGCACATGATTTCAGTGACAGATTACTATGTCCTGTTAGTCTTGATTTTGTTTGTGTGTAATCTCCTCTGCAGGGTGGGACTGTGATAGGCAGCGCCCGATGCAAGGCCTTCACAACTCGTGAGGGCAGGCTGGCTGCTGCCTTCAACCTGGTGAAGAAAGGCATCACCAACCTGTGTGTGTGTGGCGGAGACGGCAGCCTCACCGGAGCCAACATCTTCCGCAGCGAGTGGAGCAGTCTGCTGGAGGAGCTTGTACAAAAAGGTGACGTGATCTCATTGTCCACTTGTCACTGTGTAGTTTTCCCTAATTATGTACTTTTACTGCATTCTGGCTACAGCATAGTAAATACAATTTCTATGCTGAAAAGTCCTATATAATAATTTAACATTTCCACAATAAAATGTCTAAAACTAACTCCACCTATGATATATATTCGGTTAAATTGTTATCTTATTCCAAATGTTTCAAAGAACCCTTAAACCTAAAGATATCTGTTATTTTAATTAAAGTAAACGGTCCGTTTCATTTGGTGGCCCAAAATGGAGACATATCACCTTTGGCAGGTGTTGTAGTTGTTTTGCCAGAATCTGTCCTGAATTCACTTTTTACTCAGTTGCAACCCACATATTTATATTTAAAAAGCTAATGGTTGTTTTTAAATATATTTTATCCAGATATGGGATTTTAAATACTGTGTTTTTAGAGAAACAAGCTGAACAAAGGTTGGCAGTAGCCAAATGTCCTCTGAAACAACACTTGATAGATACAGAAGTAATGATTTTATCTTGTTCTGGTGTGTTAAATTGTAAGCTGCTAGAATAACATCTATAACAATGCACGTGTGTCTCTTCAGGAAGAATCACAGACACTCTGGCCAAGCAGCATGACCACCTGAACATCGTGGGGCTCGTGGGCTCCATCGACAACGACTTCTGCGGCACGGACATGACGATCGGAGCCGACTCTGCTCTGCACCGCATCATGGAGATAATTGATGCTATCATGACAACAGCACAAAGGTCAGGCACCGAGTGACATTGAACAGTGGCAGCACAAAAGCAGCTGGTATTTCATCAAAGCAATTATAATGAGATCCCTTCTTACTAAATAAGTTATACAATATGAAGATGCAACAATAACGCAGTGGTAAATATACGGTTTATACTTATAGCTGTGATAGATGGTATCAAACTACAGCTGAAATAATTAATCGATTAGTCCCTAACATTTTTAGTTTGAAAATATTTAGTTGGTATTATAATATTAATATAAATAATTTCAAATATATAGCTCGAAATAGCAACAGTAGCTGTCTCATGAGAATGTTCAGACTTTATCAGACTTACCATAATATGTGTATGTACCTGCATGGTGTAATAAGTAGTGGAATGCAATCGTGTTCTATCCCAGTCCCATTCAAGCCTCTTTGGCATGTGATCTTGCCTGGACTTGCTCCCTTAGATCTTGGCAGGCTGCAAAATGTTTTGTTTCATTATAAATCTTTTGTACCTCTTCCAGCCACCAGCGCACATTTGTTCTGGAAGTTATGGGGCGACACTGTGGGTGAGTAGTAACACTTTGACCAATGTGTCTATCCTTCACATACTGCCACTGGATAAAGCTAATGATTGTGATATCCCTCCAGATATCTGGCCCTAGTGTCAGCACTGGCCTCTGGGGCAGACTGGCTCTTCATTCCAGAGGCTCCTCCCCAGGAAGGCTGGGAGGACCAGATGTGTGCCCGTCTAGAGGGGGTAAGATGAACGAAAAGGTCAAATCAAAAACAAACCGTATATATTCGCCCCAGGCACTTGTGTTTTCACAGGAGAGGGTTTTAAAGTAGGGGATTAATAAACATGCTCTTTGGTCTACAAGCATTTCAGGGATAAAGGCCAAATTGAAGCAGGATTGTGCTTACTGACCTACTGCTTGTTCTATTTTTCTTAATTTTTTACCTCAAGAGCCGCACAACGGGGTCAAGACTCAACATTGTAATCCTCGCAGAAGGAGCCATTGACAGAAATGGCAAGCCCATCACTTCAACTTATGTGAAAGAAGTAAGTTTAAAGATTTAAGTTTTAAGATCTCAGTGTTTCCCCTCAGTTGAGCTGCTCATTCTTCCTCCTGCCAACACACCAAATTCCACTCTCCAATGAAAGATTAACTAACATCAATATGTCTCAGTGCTCTCTCCACGTGAAAGGCACCAGTGCAACATTTCATCACTTCCATCAACCTTCACAAGGAACAATGAGGGAAAACAGCATCACTTATCTGGTTAAATGTAATATTGAAGATTATGAAGGCAAATTTAAACTGGAAGATATCAGTTTGTTCAAAGTTTTCTCTCAAATGTTTGTGAAGTACGATTATCTTCTCCGGTGTGAATGGCTGGTCAATGACAAGCCAACAACAAACTGAAATGCTTCCATGTGTGTTACAGCTGGTGGTACAGAGGCTCGGCTATGACACCAGAGTGACAGTCCTCGGCCATGTTCAGAGAGGAGGAACCCCCTCTGCGTTTGACAGAATACTGGTGAGTTGGACAACATACAAATGTACATGTAAATTGATTATGACAAAAAAACAAACATGTTTAAACAATTTTAAAGGTTATATTACTGCTTGTAATCCAAAATCGTAATGAGACAACCCAGTGTAGGCCTACGAAAACGCACATCAGGCACACAATACCTGAAATATCAAGTCTTCAGGAGGCCCCCTCTAACGGTATGGACTCTCTTGTGTTTCAGAGCACTAAGTTGGGGGTGGAGGCGGTGGTTGCCCTGATGGATGCCACTCCTGACACCCCAGCCTGTGTCATCGGTCTGTCAGGTAACCAGGCTGTTCGTCTGCCTCTGATGGAGTGTGTGGAGATGGTGAGTCAGTCACTCTTTTCTACTTTATAATTGATTTCATTAGACATACTCACAAGCATAGGGAGGTTGCTGTGTTTTTCAACTGTACCATTATTTGCAGACTAAGTTGGTGCAGACTACCATGAACGAGAAGAGGTTTGATGAGGCTATCAAACTGCGTGGAGGGTGAGATGTTTTTCATGTATATGAAATAGTTGGAATCATTTTAATTTAATGCAAAACAGCCTTGATGCACTGTAGATCAAGACATGTGCAAGTACCTTCTATACATTTAACATCCACTCAAATTATGTTTATCATACACAAGATATATACACACAGTATGTTGTTTTTCTGTGCAAATAATAAACATGTCCGAGCTAAAAATAAGGGTTTTGTTGCAGGAGTTTTGAGAACAACTGGAACATCTACAAACATCTTGCCTTCCAAAAGCCTGCCCAGTATGAGGTAAGTGTCTCACTAACACAAACACACACACACACATTCAGTAGTATCCTTACCACACAATTACAAAGGTTAAGCACAAACATGCTTATTAATATCCGACTCTTGTTGCCTCAGAGCAACTTCTCCTTGGCTATCCTGAACGTGGGGGCTCCGGCTTCAGGGATGAACGCAGCGGGACGCTCTGCGACGAGGCTGGCGCTCGCTAAAGGACACAAGGTCTACGCTGTCCACAACGGCTTTCAGGGACTTGCCAATGGAAACGTAAGGGAGTCTACCTCTACATCTACACCACACTGCAGCAGATTTTAACAACAAGTTATCTGTGTGGAACTGAGAGGAGACTGTTCTCTGCTGTCTGTCTGCAGGTTTTGGAGATGGGATGGCACAGTGTTGCAGGCTGGACAGGGCAAGGGGGCTCACTGCTGGGGACAAAACGGTGAGCAACAGAACAATTTCCGTAATTTCAACATATTACTGCAACAGATTCGTTTTGTACTTTCATTAAGTTCTGGGATTTTGGACATAGCAATATCTTTTTGAGCAATAATTGATGCAGGAGAGGCTTCAATTAGACAGTATTACAACGTACACCTTCTCACAGAATGTGCTATACTTCCAACTAACAAGTGTTCTATGACATGGACTTGTTAGAAGGCCTCTGAAGAGATTTTTCACCTCTGTTTTATGCGCTTTTTCAGAACTCTTCCCAACAATAACATGGAGGGGATTGTGGAAACCATCAGAAAGTTTAACATCTCAGCTCTGCTTGTAATTGGAGGGTTCGAGGTATAAGACAGAACTTCCAAAGACTGAACTTGTGTAATATGTTTTACTGACAATGTAACATCAAAGAGGTTTTTCATTCTATCTCTTGGTGACTTTTAAAGGCGTACGCAGGAGTGTTGCAGTTGTTTGAAGCCCGGGGTCTCTTTGATGAGCTCTGCATCCCCATGTGTGTAATCCCTGCTACTATCAGCAACAACGTCCCGGGAACGGACTTCAGCCTGGGAGCAGACACGGCCGTCAATGCTGCCATGCAGGTAATGCTGAGCAGGCAACAAATTAATCAATTCGATTTTTCAGGAGGATTAACACAAATAGAGACTGCATCAAGCCAGAACACCTCAAATATACAGTAATATGAGCTGCCATCCTTAGTACGATACATCTCAACTCTGTATTCTTTGTTTGAAACAGAGGTGACAGTATTTACACCTATAGTTTTTATCTTTAAACTTTGAAGGATAGGGAATCAGAGACACGCTCTAGTTACTTGCCAATGCCTTTTTATTGAATCAATAGCAAAGTCCACATTTTAGCACGACACATGGTAATTCATGTAAAAAATACTCTTCCACTACTGGTCTTTCTAGACGTTGCATGATGGGCTTTTAAACTGTGCACAGTATTGTATAGGTGAGGGTTATACAAATAAAATAAAAACTCCACTTCTACAATGTTGACCCTGCCTTCAATTGCTAATCTCTCCATTCACTCTGCCATTTTGATTTCTTACTCAGGGCTGCGACAAGATCAAGCAGTCTGCCACCGGGACCAAGAGACGGGTGTTTGTGGTGGAGACTATGGGGGGCTTCTGTGGATATCTGGCAACCTCCACTGGCATAGCTGTGGGAGCGGACGCAGCCTACATCTTTGAAGACCCCTTCAACATCCACGACCTCACGGTGAGTCTAAAACAAGAAATGCTCTGCTGTATTCTATTTTGTCAATAATGTTCAAATCTCTCCGTCTCTCTAATTATCTCTCCTTTTGACAGACCAACGTGCAACATTTGGCTGAAAAGATGAAGAAGGACATCCAGCGGGGTCTAGTACTGAGGTGCACAACATTAATTTAGTCATACAGAGACTATTATGAAATGAAGAAGCTAACCAAGAAAGTGTTTTTTTCACCAACTTAGTTTAACAGGTGTGCATGTTAATATTTGTCTAAAATAAAATACTGCTGAGGGAAAGTAGTATTCTTTTGGGCTGTACTAAATATTTCAAAGCTTCCTCGAAATATTGAAATGTTTTACTCCTAATGACGTATTCTAAGAATGATTGGTTCTCAGCTTTTTTTTGCAAGTGGATTTAGTTTGAACCTGTGTCCTGAGGCCTGTACTACGAAGCCGGATTTTCCTAACCTGGATATGTTTGAGTTAGCCCAATCCAAAAAATCCTACGACGCTGGTTTTCAAGTGGATCGCTCAAGCCAGCCGTGTCCTATCTAGTTAGGTGCGCGTTCACATGAAAGGGGTGGTATTTGGAGCATTCGACCAATCACAAACATGGACAAGCGTACTGACAGCGCAGCGTCATACTTCCTGAATGAAAAGTGAACTTTAATATTAGTCAAATATGAAGAAGTTAAACTTTAAACATCCATGACTTAAACACTTTATCCAGGATAAAAGCCACATAGCTGCACCTGCAAGGTGAATACAGCTGGTAAAAGAAAAAGCGTTTGAATGCGTACATTAACAGGTTTATGATATCACTGCCCCGTCCAAGACACGAGTGGATCTGACTTTAATTACATTTGACTCGAGTATTTCGTCAACTTAATGTGTTGTTTAAAATAATACTTCTGCATACAGTATGTGACACTGTAAGTGTTGCACGGCCAGATACGGCTCAAGAAGCTGACTCAAATAAGGAAATATATGATACATTATGATGTGATATGATATGAATGATAATGGGAGACATCGACGTCTGCACTCACAGTGCCGCGGACTGTACTTAATGTTACTCTGATCCGGTTACTTATGTTGTGGCAGATATTTAAGTAAGCTTTCTTAACGCTAATGTTATAATAGTCAGATTGCTCTGAAGATGGGAGGGGATATTCTATTAATTTTCACGTTCACACAGTCAGTTGATTTTTGCCGGCCGTCTTTCCTGCAACGGCAGTTTTTCTGTATTTCCTCTATCCTGTAATATGACTTGATAGCTTTAAACTCCGCACACGGAGCTCTGATTAGTCAGCAGGCGGTGCTTTCACTGAGTTGATCTCTTAGCCTGCAACCTAACCTCCTCCCGAGGAGGTTAGCCGCTCAGCATAAGTTACCATGGAGATCTAGCCCGCTAAAAAGAGAACCAGCGTCGTAGGACCGGAAAGCCCGAGTTTTCCCTGAAGTCAGCCGGCTAAGCGAAAATCCGGCTTCGTAGTACAGGCCTCTGCTCTCACTCTGTTGACAATAAAGGAAAGAGAGGAGGTTTGGTCGAGACAATCAGATTTTTATTTGACTATCCTAGTCTTTCCTGCTAAAACATAACAGGCTCTAACAACAATAAACGTAAATATCCCCCAGTGCCCTGAGGCCGCTCTGTTTCGCACATGTTCCTCCTTCCGTCCTGCAAGAAACAAAAAGTAGGATACCAGCATAATTATATCATTGGTTTATTACCTGATTCTGCGCAGCTTTATGATCTCAGGCTGGGTTCCTCCTATCTTTGCACCAGAGCCGGCGCTGTATCCACACTCCACTGCTGCAACCAGTGCAGTGTTGGACAAAAAATAGGCTACAGATGTGTTAATGGTATTATACTATTTGTAGAAATAGGATGTTTCCACCTCGAGTGATACACATTTTCCTTTAAACTCATGGTAATGTGGATAAGATAAATGTACTCATTTCTTTATTTTGCAAATAGCCTTACAAAATAATTGTTATTGCGGTGGAAAAACTGATTGCTCTGCTGCTTGCAACATACAAAGGGAAGAGTTTTATGATGGGTTTCAATAAAATGTGATAAAAAATGTACCTACTAAAAAAACATCCTCATAAAACTTGACTAATGATTTATTTAAATTGAGGATTGTTTTTGGTGATGTTATAAACTATGACCGATATCCCAAACTTCCTCATAGAACCTCCATAGGAGCTGCCAAATGTAAATAAATATATTTTTCTCTGGAACAAAGTACCATCCTTAGAGCCACACAAGAAGGGGAAAATACTATAGATATATATATATATTTTAACTTCAATCTTAAGAACATACTGTACTGTGTTTATGGAACAATGTCTCACTTCATGAAATACTGTCAGAACAAGTTTTTCCTTTGTTGATAATTTTCTCTGTCATAACAGGAATGAGAAATGCCATGAGAACTACACCACAGATTTCATCCATAAGCTGTATACATCAGAGGGGAAGGGCATCTTCGACTGCAGGGTCAATGTGTTGGGACACCTTCAGCAGGTACAAGAGCCATCCACCAATGACTTCTATTACAGTGGCAATATAACATATCACTCATATCCTGGGAAGAGTCTTGCAACATGTATTCTTCACTTGTGTTTGTAATTCAGGGTGGAGCACCTTCCCCATTCGATAGAAACTTTGGCACTAAGTTGGGCATGAGGGCAATCGAGTGGATTTCAGCGAGATTAACTGAAAACTACCGACAAGGTAATGCACTATATAAAGTCAGTTTATAGTAACAATTGCTCAGAAACCCAAAGTTAAAACGCCACAATTGAATCATTCCACTGTTTTTCCCCACCAGGACGCGTGTTCGCTAACTCCCCAGAAACAGCATGCGTGCTCGGCCTCAACAGGAAGGTGATCTCCTTCAACCCCGTCACTGAACTCAAGGATGTGACTGATTTTGAGTAAGCAATCTCAACACTTTCATGTCAAATAACAGAAGAGTTCATTATGATTCAGTCTTAATAAAAACATGTGGTTTATTTTTTTCAGGCACCGGATGCCCAAGGTCCAGTGGTGGATTAATCTGCGGCAGATGCTGAAAATGTTGGCCAAGTACCAAACCAGCTTCTGTGAATATGTCCCAGGAGAGATTCAACATGTGAACCAGCACTCCATCAGCATGGACTCCGGGTTCTAGACTCTCTGAAACTACAGTAAACTCTCTGCGCTAACCCTTATCTGTCCTGCCTTTCAAGGCTACTTTCAATTTCACAGTTGTTCATGTTAACAATACTGAATACTTTTAAGACCAGCATTGATTGTCAGTCTTGTCAGTATCACAGTAGCTACAGTACATTAAATGTAAAGATGAAATTCAGGTATTCATTTATTGCAGATTGTGTTCCTCTTTGTGCCAAACAAACCTTTTTTTGTAGTCAAATCACTGCCATTAAAAGACAATCAAGTGTGCCATACAGTAAAACTTAAATGAAGTATGTTGAGTTTAAGAAATAATCTGATCAGGAACCTTAAGTAAAATAAGTATGTACAGTATGTTCATGTTATCAAGCTCAAAATGAGATCTTCTATCATTTGCACAAACATTTACTAATCTGTCCTGTTTGGTTTGAGATTCTGAATCAAGTTCAAATGAAGAATAGGGCTACATGCTTAACCGACAGATATCACCTTTAGACTTTCCGATTGGATTACCTAATTATTTTTGTATTTAAGTTTTCTGAAGTATATGTTTTTAAAGTTGACGCATTATATTATTTAATAAATAATTTGCAGAACAGAAATCTGAACATTGGAATGGAAATATGACAAACAAATGTGGGTATGAAAGTGGACATGTTTTGCCCGTAGTGTCTTGCCTTAACTTCCCTAATGTCAGGAAGTGCAAGTAACATTTAATTTATACATTTCTGAAGTTTATTTCAACATGTAACAAACTTCACAACTACTGTACTTACAATATGGAAAAGGAATATGAACACATTTGAGTATTATTTTGATATTGCTTTTTTCCATTAAAGGTCTATCAACAGTTAATACTGTTATAACATGTTCTTGTGTGAATAGTTATTAAAATAAGGTTTTAAGTTGCATTAAAAAAAAAAAATACATACCATTTAACGTGGTGGTTTTAAACCATGAACCTTTCCTTAAGCTTAATTAAAAACAATATAGGAACATTACAGAAGAAAACGGGTAACAAAGTGTTCTCAGAAACACCATTTTCAGTGTTTCTACACATCTCAAAAGTTAAATGAGAACGGAAACTCATCCCTGGTTGTATCTTTGTTCGTTGTCTGAGGGCTGTTGGAGCTAAAGCCAAAATGGAAGTCTTCACTTTGCTCTGGTTGGCCGAACAGAAACTCAGGACCTGCAAAATGATACACATACATGTAGTTCAAAGCAGGTTATACACATCTCTAAATGAAAGACATTTGATTTGAGACTTACCAGGTGCAGACTTTGTTTCTGTGGTTTTCTGAAAGAAGATACACATAGTTTGATATTTTAGTTTGAGTAGTATTGTATAAAATATAGTTGGATAAAAGTACAAATGCAGTACCTTTTCATTAAAAAAAGGGCTGGTGAAAGCGAAAGATGAGTCCTGTAAAGAAACAAGATGTAATAAACAAGTAAGAGAAGTTATTTCTGTTAAATCACTCTTTTTCTTTTGCCCACTCCTCACCTCTTCCTGTGACATGCCCACGTCAAATCCAAACCCAGAGAAGCCCGGGGTGCTGGGGTCAGAGTGCAGAGAGAACAGGAAAGCTGGAGATTTGGCATCAGTGGAGCCTGGCTGTGGGCAGGCGGCAGGGCTAAAGCTGTAGTGAACAAATGAAACATAGTTTTTAGTGGCAGTCTTGACAATATTTCAAAGTATTGGACAATTCAAAAAGCCTTACTTAAATGGGAACGCTGGGGTGGAAAACACAGCTGTCCTTTCTGCCACGGAGGACTGAGGATGCGTCTCTGTAGATGTCTGATGGAAAGCACCAAGGTCCTCATTGTCGCTCGGTGGCTGCTCTTCATCTGAAGAGTCCTCTTTCCCCACATCAGCCTCCACTCCTTCCCCCACATCCGACACATTGGTTTGCTGTTCATATGCAGAAACATCTCTTTAACGCATAATATGATAACTGTTAACTGTATGTGATTATCCTTGGTATTTATTTATTGATTGAGATTGATTCTTGAGAGAGCCGTTGCCATTAATCTATTAATAATACTTTTAGTTCCTATTATGCCACAACATGACAGTGTTGTTTTTAGGGGTACAAAGTATTATAGAAAAAAAAAACCTACCAAGACCTGATCCTCTTGTCCAGTTTCCTGCTCCTCAGTGTGCATCTCATCTTGCGGTATTTGTTCTGAAGAAATAAATATTTGTTGATGGGTTGATGGGTGTTGATAAATATGCAAATGTCGCATATAGTGTATAAAGTGTTTTTATTAATTGAAATGCGTAGGGAGCTTTAATCTACTTACCATCCAATGGATGAGATGACCACAGCTCATCATTTTCTTTCTCTGGGGAAGAGCTGCAGGTCGTCGTATACTGGACCTCATTTTCCTCAGAAAAGTCTTCATCATTTGCCTCTACTGACGTTGTATGGCCAGACTGCAATCAATCAATAATGCAACACTATTTACATAGCACATTTCGAAACAAATCATATGCACTTAAAAAGGTTCTTTACAAGCAATTGACCAAACTAAGAATTTCAAAAGTAGTGAATCTTAATAAAATATAGTAGAATAGAATTATAATGATCTACAAAAATGTTGATCCAACAAAAGGGAGTTAAATTAATACTAAAGATGATAATAGAAAAGTATAAATAATACAATTATAATCACTACCTAAAAGTGGCATAATGTGTGCTCTACCTTTTGTCTCAGTAAGGTTCATGATCAAATGCACGATGTGTCCAGGTTTTTGTTAGTGGCTATAGGACCTGTTTCAACTTTTACATTTGATAATTGCTAGAATTTGGTCAGCTCTAGGATTCCGTACTGTTGTTTGATGTATCCAAGTACCTTTGTCTGGTTGAGATGAAGAGAGGAGATGTCAATGGAAGAACTCTCATCCTCTGCCTGAGGATCTAATTGTTTCTCTGCTTGTGCTATGGGATGCTGGTCAGAAACACTAGAAGGAAAAATGAACTAAATCTGAGAAAAACTGAACTTTTCTTTGCTTTGGCTTTTTGTCATTGTGATATTTATAAGATTCACTGAAAGATACCTGTCTGGTAATTTCTCAGGGGAAGAAGAATCAATTACTGGACCTGGTCAGGCAGAAATTCAATTAACTGTATCAGGAGCTGTAAATATATCTTACCAGAGCACGTTATGATATTAAAAGTGTATTACCAGTGAGATGGTCCAGCTGCTTCTGTTTCATTGTTATTTGATCATCAGAATCCATGATCCTAGACTCAATCTCTTCTTTTTCAGCCCGCAGCCCAAGGAGTATTTGAGCAAGAGGATTTTGGTAATAATATTCTTTGTGTGACTGGAATATCTTCCTGTAACTTGCAATTCTCTGTTCGTAGACTTCTCTTTTTGGGATACAAATAAAGAACAATTCAGCTTGGTTTATTATGGCACCCCAACAAATTAATTAAATGCAAACAACATAGTTAACTGAACCCACATGTCACGGTTATAGCTGTCTTTTCCGTTCTCCAGTTCTGTTTTGAGTGACTGCTCATACTGAAGAAGCAGGCTGTTAGTTGCCTTCATGCTAAAGTTACATGGATGACAATCAGAAATACATTATATCCACACTTCCCCGCACTGCTAATAATAATAAGTTATATGTACATTTTGGTTAAGTATCAACTTGGTTCATCATAGTTTGTCTCATGCATTACCTAGTCAACATCATACCTTTTAGCATTAGCCTTATTATGTATCACAGTGCTCTGCTTCACCCTGATTCCCTCCTCAAGTTTCTGGATTTCACTGTGGATTGTTTGAATGCAAGACCTCCTCTCAGCAGTGTCAGCTCTGCAAACTGTTCACAAAAATGTAAGCACTTCAAAGATACCATTTCAAAACAAACACTATATTGTAAACTAAGTGTTTATTTGTTAGCATTAACCTTACTTTTAATTTGTTGTTCGATTTCATTCTTCTTTTGGGAAAGCTCCCGAGTTTGAAGAGCTATAAAATACAAACAATAGTTACCTTATTTAAAAATGACAATTATCCTTTTCACTATTATTATGAATAATTGTAATTATCACTTCGATTGAATTTGCTCTGGTTTACACCAACACCAAAACTGGCTTTCTAGTGAAATCCATTAGCAAAGCAGCTAGCATTAGATAACTTTAAACTTGCATGCTAATGACATAATTTGAAAACAAAACCACAACTTTTAACATACAATTAAGTTCAAATATAAACTCACCGAACTGAAAGAGGAGGCTGTCAATATTATTAAGTGAATATTGGTCGTTCATTTTGACACCAGGCTAATGTTAGTGGTTAGCGACGTTAGCTCACGCGGGGCGGGCTGCTGCTGTCAACGGCTCAGACGTTAGGAGACTTCAGCTGCGCACGGTTCTTTGAGCTCCTTCCAAGTAAAATACAAAGTTTTAAATAACTTGGTCATTGAGGAAAATACCTTACATTCATTCTGTGGCCTCAGTTAAGATCGGTTTGGGAAGCCAGATTTAAAATAATGTAGGCCTACTAAGCGAACCTAAAGATACTGTCAGTCATTCAAATTAAGCTGGCTACCTTTAGTTAGCTTTGGAGTGGACACATTTAAGCTAGCAAACGTTTTCGGGCCATCATACACGTGCCCATGGCTTTATAAAAAACACTTAATTAACAATGTATTGTACATTTTGCTTTAAGTGAAAGTTAGTGACCACCATAGCGATACTGCTATACATTTCTTAATATATATAATATATATTTTGTATCCAAAAAATGTATTAAGCCAAGCCTATGGCCTAGTTATATGTTGTGTTGCATTATACAAGTATTCATAGGCTAACGTTTTTAAACTGACGCAATACATATTCATAGTGTGTACAATAGGTTATTATATAAGATTATTTTAATCTATTCATTTTGAGGGTTATTATTTCCAACGTTTTAAGGGCATACATACGGTGCTTAAAATAGTGCTTTCAGTATGCTTTTCCTCCATCATTTTCCACATGATGTCAATCAGGAGGAGCACGGATCAGGATTGGTGGGACAGAGGGCTGGAGGCTGGAGGGGCGGGTTTAGTGCTATTCTGGAAATCATTTTTGCGTAGCGCATCTGTATGATGTGTATCGGCAAAAATACAGCCTTGTGATGTGTGGGGTATTCCAGTGATTTATCCACACACGGTTACGTTTATTTACCCGGCTCTTGTCTAACATTTTAAAGGTAAGAAGATTACATTTGAATTGCACTTCTATTTAGATTACATGCTGTTCGCCGGCTGGCGTCTGCAGACAAAAGAGCGGACATGGGTGGGATTTAAATGGGAGGGGATCAGCTGTGTGAAGAATGGGTTGTTTTTTCGATTCCACCCCCACCAATGAAATTAAGCATTTGTCTCGAAAACCACTCTATCCGTCAATTAATTGTGTACTTTTTCATTTTGTCTGTAAAGGAAACAGGATGGTGTGTAAACAGATCAAGCTCGCGGTACATTTACTGAGAGTAGGATATCGTTGTGCTGTCAGCCTGTCATGCAAAAGAATGACAACCCCCAATTCATTTAAGCCTCGTTTGTTATCTGTATTTCGTCTGTCTGGTTCTAGATGCATAATTCCATATCAAAGATAATGTGAGATTTTGTATATTTGGTACATATGTAAAAAACGCCTCTGCAGAATCTAGGCCAGGCTCACTCTACATAGAGGAGTGTATTATTGTGACAGTAAAAAACCATGGCTGTTCTTTAATGCCTCTCTCTGTTTGTGTGTGTGTTTGTGCTTTTTCATCCAGCCTGAAATCTTCCCTAGATTGAACTTTTGAACATAATGAGTAGTCTGTGCTGCTCAGATCTTCAATATTAGTCTTCATATATAGCCCATCATAAAGTAGCCGTAGAGTCAAAGAGTTTACAGGATCAGGGGAGAGCATGGCCCATCTAGAGGAGTCCCAAACTGAGGGAGAAGGCAGCCCCCAGATGATCTCCTTAAGATCAGAGATGTCAGGGAACCATGTGGCCGATGGAGAAGTGGGAGCCCCCATAAGGAGGAAGAGGAGGAAGAAGAAAGACCAGCGTCCAGAGTCCATTATTGTTTACCACTCTGAAATGGAGAGGGGCTCTGGAGAGGACCAAGGCAGTGAGGAGGGAGCAGAGAGGAGCACGGAGGAGGGAGCTAAATTCCTCTGCACACCTACAGGAGAAGGTGAGAGACTTGTCTTTTAATATCAAGAAGTGCCATTATTATCACAGAAGGAAAGTTAGGTGATGTGTTTAGTCTACTGTGCCATTTACACCATGCATATTGACTACATAATAAAACAAAAGAACAATTTATGTATTTGTTATTAGCATTTGGCCATTTTAAGGATAACATAATTTGACAGGGAAAAAAGACTAAGGCTGCGACCAAGCACATGCTTGCATCCATGCCTCTTTCTTGTAGGCCACTTTCCCTGCAACATCCATTTAGCTAATTGGAATGATCATAAATATACACTCATACCCCCACACACTTGAAGCATTACTTAAAACTCTTAGAGCGGAAAATTGCGGCAGGGAAAGGTTAGGCATATTTTGTGAATTGACCTATATAAAGGATGGTTACAGCTGAAGAGCAAGAATGTGAGTTTACCACATTTTCTTCTTGTTGGCTTTTCATTTTGCTGTTTGTCATAAAGGTAACTGTCTCTTGTTTCATAATCTCTTAACAGAAGAAGGGTGGAGCCTTCCTCCAGACAGCCGCTACGTGACGCTGACAGGCACCATCACCCGAGGAAAGAAGAAGGGTCAGCTGGTGGACATTCACCTCACTTTGACAAAGAAGGAAATCAGGGATCTGGCTAAGTCCAAGGAACGTCTCGACGCAGAATGTGAGGCAGGGGAAGGCTACAAACGCAACTGCGGCTTAGGCGTGTGTCAGGGACCCCATGTCGTCCTGTGGAGCCTCTCCTGCGCTCCTGTGATTTTCCTCCTCTCCTTCATCACTTCCTTTTACTACGGCACTCTTACCTGGTACAATGTCTTCCTGGTGTACAATGAGGAGCGGACGTTCTGGCACAAGATTACAATATGCCCCTTCCTCATCATCTTCTACCCCATGCTCATCATGCCCATGGCGCTGTCCCTGGCTCTGTACTCTGCCGTGGTGCAGGTGTCCTGGGCCTTCAGTGAGTGGTGGCAGGACGTGAGAGATATGGAGAAAGGTTTCTGTGGCTGGGCCTGTGGGAAGCTGGGACTGGAGGACTGTTCCCCCTACAGCATAGTAGAGCTTCTTGACTCTGATACTGTTTGTGGCACTCTGCATAGCAAGGCCCCCAGTGAACTTGCCCAGACATCATCAGTGTGAAGTGGTGGTATGCTGAGGTGCAAGGCACATATAGGAGTAGGCCTAAATCCAAGTGATACGCAAGAAAGTTAGAGTTGCTTATGGGGAAGTACTTGAAAGCTTTTCTGTAATTGATGATCAAACACTACCTGAACAGTTCCGAAATTCAGATCTATTATGCATCATGGGATCCAGGCCACTATAAATTATTCCTCTAAGCATGCGAGTGGTAATTTTTGTTATTTTTAAGTTGTTATGGTTATCCTCCAACAACTGAATCCTTCTTATAACTTTTTGATATTTTAAGGCCTCAGTGCCTCCTGTAGTGAAATTTGGATAATCTCACCTTGTTCACTGCTACATATGTTGTTGGAGTCCTGAAAGTTACACCAAGTTCCACTTCATCTGTAAATATCTGTAATTAAATGTATGTGCTCACAGAGCTGCGCACTGACGTAAAAAACTGGATGCATTTCAAATGCTTGTATGTAAAGTCATCATAATCTGTGAAGTTGTATTTGAAGTAAGGCTGGATTACTAACCGGAAACAGTGGGTTCAGAAATTACTTTATTAAATGTGTTTTATTACTGATTGATCTGGGTGTATGCACCATCCACAACAATATTGTTCAAATAATGAGCACTTGGGGAAATACGACAACTTTCCCCTTTACCCTCACTAGCATTTCCTTTAGTTACTGTGGTTCCGCTAGTTCTTTTATTTGGGATAGTGACCGCAAATAATTGACATTGCTTGTCTTTGGTAACTTGGGATAGCTACCAGGAAAAAGAGAGATGCATCCTCTTCCTGTTTCTTTGTGCTTCTTCCTGTTTCTATTGGGCAAATAACATTTATTGTACAATTGATAGGAAATCCTTATTGGAATGATCAGTCCAGTTTTTTGGGGGGAGAGTTGGGGGGGGGGAATATCAAACCATCTTAATCCATTAATAAATACCTGTATTTTTAGGATGATATTGTTTTAAATGGTGCATATTCCTAAAACGTTTTGCATTTCGTAAAGGAAGTTGCTGACACGAGTACTTACTAGTGTCTGGGCATCTAAATGTTGCTGCTTTTTGCACACATTAAGTACATAGTGTTACAGTGTTCTGACAGACAGAAGAACAGGGATCAACAGCAGGTTAATCCAGCCATTTTTTTGAAGCCATAGTCAGAAAAAGCTGACAAATTAGGCATTTCTCTGGTGTAGTCATGTGTTTTCATTGTTATTCTTGGCACCATCAACACAGATGTGTGTGATCTTAAACTACATGTGTTGTCTTCACAGTTTTGTTCCACACACAACTTAAAAAAGTAGTAATTTTCCAGTGTTCATGTTACATTTACACCCAGTTATATTTGAATGTTGATTTAATTTATTTTAAGACTACTCACTTCCTGTCTTTGTTGTAGCTATTTGTTTTATACTCTGGCACTAAATGTATTGCAAATGGTTATCATGAACAGATTTTGTTGGTTTAAATTGATCAGATAGTTAAAATATTTGTTTTAAAAAATATTTATGATCAGTCCTTGTTTGGTTGTATTATTCAATTTTGTTTCAAACAAACAGTGACATTGATCAGTGGTTGTGTCTTTATTCCATGTTACATGTTGTGAGACCACAGGATGCAAAGTAAAGAAGTACACAAATTAAATAAAGTCTTATGTCATTACATCACAACTTTATGACATTTTGGGGGTAAAACAAACAAGACACTGTTTTATGGGAGGTTGATAATGTCTTGAAAAACAGTCAGTTTACAGTGTTTCCCTGAATGGTGACAACAGCTAGCTCCCTGGGGTCAGTAAAGAAAATCCATATGCTCCAAAACACACATTAACCAACAAGGCCAGTTTCAAAGTCTGATTGTGGGGAGTCCTCCTGGAAATGAAGAGGTTTAGGTATTATGTGTAAAGAAAGTTTAAGCAGCATTTAGACCTTAATATAGGAAAAACATTTGAATAAACAAAGACAAAAAAAATTCTAAATAATTCAACAGTTTGAGGGGAGAAGGTGCTTTATGGAGACTTTGAGTATTTGGTTTATTCATATTTTATTTATTTCTATTTGTATTATTAAATTTTTTTTGGATCTGCTTTAATTCCCAAGTAAGCATGTAACCATTCCGGGAATTTGATTCCAGTTGTGTTTTTTTCTAAACATACATGCACAGAAATAGACATACAGCTAAAACAAGACTAAACAAAGGTTAACAAAAATATTTTACTACCATAAACATTTCACTACTAATATACAGTGTATAAAAACAACAAAATATCACTTTAACAGTTACACAGTGGTATGTTGCAAAGTGCAAATGGTGCTGGAATAATAATGATAGGTTGCTTTATATATATTTGCATTACTAGTATTTCTTTATTATGTATTTAGTTATTTATACTGATATAACATTTATAATATCCTGCCTACCAGTCTATTAACACAATAAGCACAGACTATGGGACACACATTGCAATGTGCAATGTACAACGCTGGAGGGCGTTTGACCTACATCCTATGATTACATTTCATTGCACTCTTCTCGGGAACAGCACGACACTGTATCCACTTTATACAAGTGCGGTATGTTTCTTAAAAAAGTACACCTAAATACTGATTTTACATTAGTATCCAACAAACTCTACCACTTCGTAAAGTGCTGTCTGATATCTGAATGCGGCACCATTATACCTGGAAACTGGAACCAAGTTATTGTTCCTGTAGTTCACTATTTCTCTCCGGAGCCATAACAGAGTGACACGCAGTCTTAGGAAGAGGGAAAAAAGAAGATGGCAGGTTCCAAAGTAAGTTCATTTTTCTTTCTTTTCTATAAGTAATCTATTAACTTAATGTAAAGCGTTGTTAGCCTGTGTTTTCTGTTTAATTCTGGAGGTTTGCAAACACAAGAAAAAACATTGTTTCTCTTTTTCTGAGCTTCAGAAGTTACACGGCGTGACCAGTGTTTGGCGGCGATATGTTCAGACATGTTGGTGCTAACGCTGTCACGCCCCCTATTGATTGAATACAAAACATTACACAACTGTACTGGTTTGACAGAATGAGGACCACGTTATGCCTTTAATGAAATACACAATATGTTCTTTTATTGTTTGTTGTCTGTAGTCAGCGTTGGTGTTGTGCATGGATGTTGGGTTCTCCATGTCCAACTCCGCCCCGGGTGAAGAGCCTCCCTTTGAACTTGCCAAAAAAGTCATTCAGAAGTTTGTCCAGCGCCAGGTAAATGTTTACTACACGTCTTCCTAAAACGAGGAACAAATACCATGAGGATCTCTGTCATATTTGACACACTATGAACATGTCGTTCACAGGTTTTTAAAGAGGCCAAGGATGAGCTGGCTTTAGTTCTGTTTGGCACAGACGCCACCAACAACTCACTGGAGCAGGACGACCAGTACCAGCACATCAGCGTGCATCGTCACCTCATGGTGCCTGACTTTGAGCTTCTGGAGGAAATAGAGAATCAGATCCATCTAGAGAATCAGCAGGCTGATTGTATCCTTTTGCTCAGTACTTTAACCCCAAAATTAAACCTGTATAAAGACTACAACTTATAGTACTTTACATTGGAAGAATGTTTAGGTAAAAGTAAAAAAAGAAGAAGAATGTCATTCATGTGTAACCACATTGAATAGTGATTTTGTTAATTGTATTTCAGATCCAAGGTTAGTTGTTGTTTGATTGGATTTGTTTGTGATTGTTGCATCAATGTGAAATACTTAGTTTTAATGTGTAATTAAGGTGGCACAAGACACAATATTTGCTTTAACCTATGTTAAATGTCAAGTTGCATTATGTAATGGCTATTCTATGATGTGAGAAAATATGTTACCTCCTTCACTCCGATCTACAGGGCTGGATGCTCTTGTTGTGTGCATGGATCTCCTCAAGAAAGAAACACAGTAAGAAGCTCCTTGTATCACATTCTTAGTTTTCACAATTCAAAGAAAAAACTAAAATAATGTGTATCCATTAAAATGTTTATTTTGCTGATGGTATTGTTGGTTTTTCATTGTGTTGGGTTTTCTTTTCAGGGGGAAAAAGTGTGATCGTCTCAACGTTGTCCTCCTGACTGACCTCAACACACAGGCCAGCTCAGAGCAGCTCGATGTCATTATTGAAAACCTGAAACAAGCCGACATCACCCTGCAGTTCTTGTAAGGTTCAGACCCACAAACTATGTGTCATTTTAAATTACATATTATATGAATAGACCCAAAACATTATACCAATAAGGTTAAAGAATAATGATGATTTGTAATGTATTTGTGTTCATCAATACTTATATAAAATGGCAGACATCTATTCTGATAAAACCTTCAATGTTAAATGTGTCTCTTGTAAAGAACATTGAGTGTAGTTAATAACATTGTATCCTTCCTCGGACCAAACCCTTTTCAGTTTGCCCTTCCCTGCGGAGGAAGATGAAGAGGTTGGAGGAGATGCTGGCGAAGGCGGCCCCGGTCACCCAGGCACAGGAAAAGGTCTGTCCAGGGAACAGCAGAGTGGCCTGGACATGGTGAAACACATCATGCTGAGCCTGGATGAGGAGGACGGCTTGAATGAAATTTACTCCTTCAGGTCCGTTAGCTCATATTAAACACACAACATTTCCTAGTGTATACAGTCTATGGATATTTCTCTTGTCTAATATATATATATGTTTTTCTCTCTGAACCACATAGTGATCTCTACACTCAAAAGTTGTAAATCTCTATTTGGATAAATTCATATGACTTGGCTTTCCATGTGCTTCACTCACGCTGTAGGAAAGCAATCGAGCAGCTGTGCATGTTCAAGCGCATCGAGAGGAAACCCATGGCCTGGCCCTGTCAGCTGACCATCGGCAGCTGTCTGTCTATCCGTATTGTTGGATACAAAGCAGTAAGTCTACAGTGAAGACAACTGGATAAATATGTACTATATGCACATTACACAGCTCTTTGACTGTAAACATATTGAGTTCCTTTCTGGGAAAAGTGCTACTCCACATGTTATCATGTTACTGTAAAATCTACTTTGTGAGACCTTGTACAGTAGCAACATGTATTCCACTTATTTCTTACTGCTATTAATGTCAAGATTGTTATCTTATTTGTATTATTATAACATGAATACAAATCAAGTTTTTCCCAGTATGTATCTTTTGACTCAAAGTCATTTTTAATAGTACTGTTTTGTTATGAGTTAATGTGTAGTTTTGATGTATGTTTTGCTCATTCACTTAGTGAATTTGAAAGGAATCTGACATTTCTTTAACCTCCCTTTTGAGTAATTTAAATACACAGATGACAGCCTGTCAGTAATAGTCACATGAAGGTTATCTCATCAGCAACCACTACTTACCATATTCCAGGTGACAGAAGAGAAACTGAAGAAGATATGGGCTACAGTCGATGCTCAAACAAACCAGAAGGAGGACGTGAAGAGAGAGACTGTCTACTGCCTGGATGATGACAATGAGACAGAGGTGCCAAAGGAGGATACCATCCAAGGTGAGAAAGTTATTTTCTAATTAAATAACTCAATGTTGAACTTATCACTTAATAATTCCCAAAACATTGTTTTTCTTGTCCACAGGTTTTCGTTATGGAAGTGATATTGTTCCCTTCGACAAGATTGATCAAGAGCATATGAAATACAAGCACGACGGGAAAAGCTTTGCTGTTCTCGGATTCGCCAAACAGAACATGGTATAATACGTTATGCTACTGTGATCTGCTATCAGGGTTTCTTTCTTCCCCCATCTTAAGTCATTTTAATATTGAGTATCATTTTAGACATTTCCTGTCACAAATTGTTAAGGTAAAAAGAGGCTAGGGTTCCTACTCAATACATCCGATACTTATCAGTTAAAATATACTAGTGATAAGGAAATCCCTACTTTAATACTTAACTGGTTTTTCAATCTGTTTGCAGATACGTCGCCATCAGTTCATGGGGAATCAAGTCATCAAGATTTTTCCTGGCAGAGATGATGAGGTGAGAATGGAGAGACCTGACATGTTGCTGGTGACTGCACGTTGATACTGACCTGTCTGTGTTCCTACTGTTCTGCAGCATGCAGGAGTTGCACTATCCGCTCTCATCCGAGCACTAGATGAACTCAACATGGTGGCCATTATACGTTACGCGTATGACCGACGCTGCAACCCTCAAGTAGGAGCAGCCTTCCCGTGCATCAAGCTGGACTATGAGGTGACGTCACAGAATCATGAAACATGCTGTTTTTATTTAATCTGTCATATAGCACAGAGCTAATGATCTGTCTCTCCCCCTCAATAGTGCCTGATGTACGTCCAGCTGCCCTTCATGGAAGACCTGAGACAGTATACATTCCCTTCCCTTGAAAACAACAAAAAGTTCACTCCGTCAGGTACAAAACGCCTCATAGAATTAACCGATAACTCACAAAACTGACTGCAGATTCTCCACAAGAGGGAGCTTTCTGATCATGATCACAGCAGCAGCTAACCTATTTAGACCTGCGGGTCTGAACATGACATTGTTGCCCCTTCAAGTGAAAAAACTGCTGTTACATTGTGTAACGTGATCGACACTGTGTACATATATTTTTTAATCTAAATCATTTTGACTACTTCAGTGAGAGATGCAGGAATGGACTTGAATG